TGTCATACAATTGGTTAGAGACCCTCAGACACGCGCCTCGAGCCAGCCAGCAATTGGTCATTGCCCCAAAGCTCATCTTTAACACAGTAGCCAATTTACTTTATCTCAACCTTGCTCAAATGTTTGTTTCTACCGCTTGTTTCCTCATTATCTCTAATTCAGGGACATGTGAAACAGCGCAAAGCCACCTGCAAATTCATTTCCCACAGTCGACCTCTGGGTTTCTGGAGCTGGGACTATTGAGGATCAGAAGCCAATTACACCCCAACTGAAAAAGAGATACTCATGGCATATGAGGGTGTTCGAGCTGCTTCAGAAGTTGTGGGCGCAGAAGCACAGATCCTCTTGGCACCATGGCTACCTGTGTTACATTGGATGTTCAAAGGGAAAATTCCAACTACACACCATGCGACTGATACTACGTGGAGTAAGTGGATAGCGTTAATTACACAGCGGTCTCGAATGGGAAAACCTAATCGCCCAGGAACTCTGGAAGAGATCATGGACTGGCCGGAAGACAGACATTTCAGAGTGCCGACGAGGTAACCCATGCTGAAGAGGCACCACCATACAATGAGTTGCCAGAAGACAGAAAGCAGTATGTGTTGTTTACTGACGGATCCTGCCGTGTGATACGGAGCCATTGGAAATGGAAAGCTGCTGTGTGGAGTCCCATACGACGAGTTGTGGAGGCCATGGAAGGGGAAGGCGAGTTGAGTCAGTATGCAGAAGTAAAAGACATACAACTAGCCCTAGAGACTGCCGAAAGAGAAAAATGGCCAGTACTGTATCTCTACACTGACTCATGGATGGTGGCAAATGAGCTGTGGGGGTGGCTGCGGCAATGGAAACAGAGCAACTGGCAGCACAGAGGTAAACCTATTTGGGCTGCTACCCTGTGGCAAGATATTGCGTTCCGTGTAGAAAACCTGGATGTAAAAGTATGTAATGTAGATGCCCACATGCCCAAGAGTCGCGTTACTGAAGAACATCAGAACAACGAAGAAGTGGATAGAGCTTCGAAAATTGAAGTGGCTCAGGTGGACCTGGACTGGGGACATAAGGGTGAGCTGCTTGTAGCTTGATGGGCCCATGAAACATCAGGACATCTGGGGAGGGATGCCACTTACAGATGGGCTTGTGATCGAGGGGTAGACCTGACCACTGAGGCCATTACACAGGTTACCCATGAGTGTGAGACCTGTGCTGCAATCAAGAAAGCCATGAAGGTAAAATCTCCCTGGAACAGGGGGAGGTGGCTAGGGTTTCAATATGGTGGGGCCTGGCAAATTGACTATATTGGACCACTCCCACAAACCCACCAAGGCAAACGATACATACTCAGCATGGTAGAAGCAACTACTGGGTGCTCAACACCTTTTGCACCTAAGCCTGGGCAAGAACCTCAGAGTAAGAAAAGTCCAGTTACACACACACACACTTCCAACATGCCTAACATAGAACTGAGTACTTCACACCACATACTAGCCATCACCTTGTAGTGTGTTTACATGGCAAGGTTCTGGTAGCAGGGGGCCATAGGGGTGACTTCTGTGAGGAGGACCTAGAAGCTGCCTCATGTTTGGTAAGGGCCTCACTGCTGACCAGAGCTGAGCCAATAAGTGATATTGTTTTGCGCCTCTACAAGAGAATATTTAAGACAAGAAAAAAAAAAAGCTGCGCCACACAGCAGCTGGGAGAGTGAGAGGAGTGAGGAACAGCCTTGCAGGCGCCAAGGTCAGTGAAGAAGGAGGGGGAGAGGTGCTCCAGGCGCCAGAGCAGAAGTCCCCTGCGGCCTGTGGTAAGGACCATGGTGACGTGAAGCAGGATGTCCCCCTGCAGCCCATGGAGTACCACGGTGGAGCAGGGTTCCACGCTGCAGCCCGTGGAGGAGACCATGGTGGAGCAGGTGGCCCTGCACCGACGGAGGCTGCCGCCTGTGGAAGACCCCTGCCGGAGCAGATTCCGGGCCGGACCTGTAGCTCGTGGAGAGGAGACCATACAGGAGCAGGTGACCTGGCAGGAGCTGCTGCCCGTAGGGGAGCCAGGTTGGAGCAGTTTTCTCCTGAGGGATGGACCCCGTGGTACGGACCCATATCTGGAGCAGTTCTGGAAGAGCTGCTGCCTGTGGGAAGCCCACGCCGGATCATTTCAGCAAGGACTGCATCCCGTGGGAGGGACCCCACAGCACAGGGGACGAGAGTGACCGAGAAGGAGCAGCGGAGAAGAAGTGCTATAGACTGGACATAAACCCCCTTTCCCCCGTTCCCCTGCGCCACTCGGGGGGGGAGGAGGTGGAAGAAGGCGGATGGGGGGGGGAAGGTGCTTTTGGTTTCTTTCATTTGTTTCTCACTTCTCTAGTTTGTTACTAATAGGTAATAAATCTTACTGTCTCCCTATGCTGAGTCTGTTTTGCCCATCACGCTAATTACTGTGCAATCTCCTCATCCTTATCTCAACCCCTGAGCCCTTTTCATCATATTTTCTCCCCGTTCCTCTTCGAGGAGGGGGAGTGAGAGAGCAGTTGTGGTGGAGCTCGGTCACCCACCCGAGTAAAACCACCACACACCTTCACCTCTTCACTTAAAATCTCAGCAAGAGAAGAAGAGCACTTGTTCGGGATACCAATGTGAGAAACGAAGTTGTCTTTTTGCAATAGAACGTGTTTTTGCAGTGGAAAATTCTACTAACCTTACATATTCAAAAGCAATTGTGCGGCATAGCAGTGGGGAGTATGTTAAGCAGATAAAGGGAAGGTCCCACTGTCCCAAACAAGGAGGATAGCTGAGAAAAACAGGATGAGTGGTACATACTCAGCATGGTAGAAGCAACTACTGGGTGGCTGGAAACATACCCCGTAAAGCATGCCACGGCCCAAAACACCATCTTGGGCCTAGAAAGGCAAGTGCTGTGGCATAATGGTACGCCAGAGAGAATCGAGTCTGACAATGGGAGTCATTTCCGAAACAATCTTGTCACCTCCTGGGCCAAGAGGCATGGTATTGAGCGGGTGTACCGCATCCCTTATCACCCACAAGCCTCTGGGAAGGTTGAGAGGTACAATGGACTACGTTACGAGCATTGGGTGCTGGGACATGGAAACAATGGGATATAAATCTACCAGAAGCCACTTGGCTTGTTAACAACAGGGGGGGTCTGACAGCCATGCTGGTCCTGCCGAAACAAAACCCCTACACACAGCGAAAGGAGCTAAAGTCCCCGTAGTGCATGTAGGAAAGTGGATGGGGAAGGCGGTGTGGGTTGCTCCTGCCTCAGGAAAAGGCAAACCCACTCGTGGGATTGTCTTCGCCCAAGGACCAGGGTATACCTGGTGGGTCATGCAAAAGAATGGGGATATCAAGTGCGTGCCTCAAGGAGATTTAACCTTGAGAGAAAACTAATCTGTAATCTAAGTTATACGTTGTAGGAAGACACTGCAGGATCAATGACAGGTCAACTTTGCAAAGAACCGGGCGAGTGCAACAAGGACTTGAGCTAAGCTGGTGCTGGCGTCCAGACATCCAACTTTGCCTGCCCTGAGTGACCACTTTGGCAGATGAAGACCAAATCGCCAACAGTTCTTATGAACATTTTCCGAGAAAGACCTACAGAATGAAAAGATATACCTACCTATCAATCTGTTAAAGAACAAGGAACAATGGTGATGAGAATACTTATATGCTAAAGCATGGGGGACCTGAGAGTGACACAAATGGTATGGAATAAGGGGTGGAGGTTGTACTGGGTTTGGCTGGGTTGTTAACTTTCCCTGCAGCAACCCATACAGTGCTGTACTCTGTACTTGTAGCTAGAACAGCAGTGGTATCACACCAGTGTTGTGTCTGCTGCTGAGCAGTGCTGGCACAGCATCAGGACTCTCTCTAACCCTCCTAGGGGGTGGGCAAAAAAAATGAGAAAGAAACATCACCAGGGCAGCTGACCTAAACCAACCAAAGGGATATTCCATACCATATGATGTCACACTCGGCAATAAAAGGTGGAAACAGGAAGAGGGGAGGGGTGGGCTCTCGTTGCAAAAACATCGGTCCTCCTCCCAAACACCGCCTACGTGCATTGAGGCCCTGCTTCAAGGACGTGGTCAAGCATCGCTCATTTGTGGGAGGTAGAGAGTAATTTCCTTCCTCTGCACTTCCACATAGCCTTTACTTGTTTTGTTTTTTTCCTGTTTTTTTTTTTTCCTTTCCCCCTCCCTTTCCCCTTTCCCTTTTTTCCCTTTAGTTAAATTGATTAATAATAATCTTTCCTTAATAATTATTCTTTTTTTTTTCCTTTAAATTATCCTTATCTCAACCCGTGAATTGTTCTTTCCTTTACTTCATCCCCTCCTCATCTAAGGAGGGGAAGGGAGAGAACGGTTGTGGCATTTAGCTGCCTAGCTTGGTAAAACCACCACAGCTATGTAACTAGTAGGTGTGCTGTCCTGCTTGTGGGATGCCCACCACTGCAATTGCGAATAAAAAAAATGCTACTTCTCTGAGATCATTGGCTGAGCCTATGTTATTGGCTACAGAGTGTTTCTCACAACACGCAAAACTGACTCCGCGTAGGGAGATTAATAAAATTTATTGTCTATCACTAGCAAGCTAGAACATTTAAAAACTAAAAGCAAACAGGATACCTCCCCCCCCCACCCTCTTCTATGCCCTCCCTGAGCAACAATGGGGAATGGCAAATCGGGGGTTGTGGTCAGTCTATAGCACTTTGTCTCTGCCGCTCTTTCACAGTCATTCTCTTCCCCTGCTCCAGCATGAGGTCCCTCCCACGGGATGCAGTCCTTCCCAAAATGATCCTGTGTGGGTTTCCCACAGGCAGCAGGTCTTCAAGAACTGCTCCCACATGGGTCCGTACCATGGGTTCCATCCGTCAGGAGCATCTGAATCTTTAATTCCTGCCTTTTAAAATTACATTAAAAATACTGAATTATTTGTTCCCTTTGAAGAACAAGAAATTAGTCGCAAAATAAATGACTGTGAAAACAGTTTAGATTTATGGGAGCTCAGTCATTTATTTAGAGCAAAAGACACATTCTCCTTTGACTTCAAAGGCATCGGGATTAGGTTCTAAAGCTTTACCCTGAAATTTGCAGTTCATTTTCATAACCAGGTGTGGATTTATCCGGGGATTTTAGATAGCTTTGCCCTCTTCCGTACTGCCAGCAGCTTTGTTTAGTTCAGTGTACACTCCTTAGTGTGCCACAGTCACGGTTGACTGCATACCTCCTCCCATACAGATTAGAACTACCTCTGCCCTATGACTAAGGCCTGGAACAGAAATAAGGTTTAAAGTCTCTTTTGATATGTTTTCTGATAATATTCCGAAATACTAATTTTTATCCATTTTTTTTGGCTATTTCACATATAATGAGATACACCCCATGCATACTAAAATATTTTTAGTAATGTGAGCTTTCATTCTGCAATCATTTTTTGTGAGTAAACCTTTGAAGACAAAAGGAATACAGGGAACCACTTGTATAAACACAATTGAAGAATTTGAACTTTCATTTTAAAAAATGGATTAAAATAATATCTAAAGGAATAATAATAATAAAAAAAACCAATAAATTAATTTCCCTTAAGGAAATAAAATTCCTCATTTGCTCAAACATGTTACAATAACATCTTCTAAATCAACTAATAAATTAGTTGCTTTCTCATGCAGGTAGTAACATCATAGTATTCAAACAAAATAGCCATTTCTACAAATTCCTTCAGTTAAACAAGATTTTAAAAGCATAAAATGGGCTAGTGACATTCTCACTGGAAAATTCTGACTAAAACGGAATAGCCAAATAGGTGTGTCTTACCACGATGATTGCACTGGCTAAACCATATTTGATATGGAAAACACCTGGCATTTAAAAAATAAAATTGCAGTATCTAAATCACCAATTAAGAAAAAAAAAATCTTTATATAAATTAATGAAATCACATAAAGATTCCAACAACATGAATCGGTAACAATATGTTAGAAGTAGATTGAAATAGTATTCCTAGGCCAACTTTGTCATGTTAGAATAACATTTTCCTTTGAATTCATAGGTGCGTAAGTCCTGTATGTCCATACATGCGTGTGGACTCTAAAGAGACAGTTTATTAAACTTTAGTTTATTATGAAAAAAAAAAAATCCCCCTTGATTTACAGAGTTGCACTGTATTAAATTAAGCACAAAGATTTATGAACATGCTTCATCTACTTCACCAATTATTCTCCTTTATTTCAAATGGATAACTTGAAATTTTAAATGTATAAACAAATATAGGATTAGGACCTTTTATATTAAGTTGCAACAAAGGTATATAATACATATTTTCAGAGCCTGGTTTACACCATCTCCATTAAATTTACATGAGCATATATACACATTAGATATAAGTATTTCCAGTACTGAATTACCATATTCTCCAGTGCCATTTTCATTTCTGTACTTTCAAACACACTTGTAAATTGAACTTTGATTCATCCAACATTACAAATTTAATAGTTAGGCTTGAGAGATGCATTTAAAATCTGCCTTAAAGACAGACCATTATACAGAAAATTATAAGACTGAAAAATTCAAGTGCATTGGTGTAAGATACCTCTTTATCCATCCAGAACTTAAAGGATCTGTTTATGTCACAGGATATTTACAGCTAGTTGTGTCCAATTGCATGGCTGAATCCTGAAGTCCACAGTCGAGCAAGGCTTCCTTTAAACATCAAAGGATTTTTGTCGAAGTATTGAGGAGCACACACTCACAGCAGAAGTGAGTATGAGAAGACAGTTAAATCATTAAATGTAAATGCTTCTTCACTATTATCCTGTGGTATGATTATTCAGTTTTGCCTGTATAGAGGATAAACAAAATCTTTCATACTAGGACATTCTCTTTCTCCAAACAGTCCTTCACAACCCAGATTTAAAATATTTCCAGTAAATCTCGTGGTGGTGGTGAGCATCAACCTCCAGCATAGGACCCTTCACCTCAAGATCTGCATTTTTCCCCGTGCTCGTCCAAAAAGGTTGTTTTTAAAAGCCACTCCAATTCGATATGTCCACCTGGAAATTCCTCACCCCATCACTTTCAGCATCGGGTGTTTCCTCACTCGCTGGGCCGGAGGGGGACTGCCACCTTTGTGGTTTTATTATAAGGCGCGTTTTTAAGTATGCCTCCTGCGAGGCGGCTTTTTGCAGTCATTTGCGGTCCTCCTTCCCACCATCCTCAAGGCAGACAAAAATAAACTCAAAACATTTTGTTTGTTTGTTTGTTTTTTCAACGGTCACTTCTTCACGAATCGCTGACTGCCTTCGTCTCAGCGCAGGTCTGAGCGTAAACTCCGATCACGTTTCGTACACCAGAAAGGAAAATAAAAGAAAGAGAAACTCAGGCGGCAGTTGCAGAGGTGGAGATAGGGAGAGACAACCGCGCAGCGGAAATTCAGTTGTGCCCGCCGCCGACAAGCGCGGCGAGACAGAGGGAGTCTCTCCAGCTGCGGCAAAGCCGGGAGGGGAACGACGTGGAGCAGCGCAGTGGCGACAGCGGAAGCGGCGCTCGCTGAGCGAGCGAGAAGGAGGCGGTAAAGGAAAGGGGGAGGCTGTTAGTGTTTGGCGCCGGTGGAGGGAGTCATTCCTGCAACTGCACTTCCGGTCGGCATTTTGTTCTGAGAGGGAGCGAGAAAGACATACACACAGGATTCGATCTTTTCCTTTTCCCTCTTCCTTCTCCTTCCTTCTCCTTCTCCCTCCTTCTCCACCCCCACTTCTTCTCCCTATCCCCCCCCGCTTCTCGCTCGGTACCGACTCACCGTGCCTAGGCTGTCCCCTCCCCCGTCTTCCTGCACTCGCACGCAGAGGAAGCGGCGGCCTCTTGGCAGCGCTGCCCTGCCCCCCCCGCCCCCCCCCCCCCCCCGCCCTCCCCCCCGCCCTCGCTCCCTTGCGGCTCGGACTGTGTCTCGGAACAGGTTCGGCCCAGCGCGGCCCAGCCCGCGTTGATGTTGTGAAGTAGATTTGGGGGAAGGGATTTGTCTCGGTCGCTCACCCCCCAGCTCTACATGTTCGCTGCACTGAGGAGACGGAAGAGGAACCAGCCCCCCTCCCGGCCCGGATTATTGTTGTTATATTATCTCCTCTCCTCCCGCTCCGCGGTGGCGGCCTAGTAGCGACAGCTCCTCTGAGGAGGGAGGGGGGTGGAATTCTCTCTCCCTTTCTCGGATTCTCGTTGGATTCAGACGCCGATTTGCTCAGGTAATCCCCCTCCTTGTCTCCCCTTCTCCCTGCCCTCTCCAGCAACGGGCCGGGCCTTACAGCCCAGGCGGCCCAACGCTGCAGGTAGCAGAGGGGATTAGATGTTATCCGGGGTAGAGGGGAATAAGTGGCAACCGGAGGTGTTTATTTCGTAGCTCCCCTTTCTGCTCGCTCGGGTTTAGCGGAGGAGATTGTTTTTTTCCGGGCTGCCGGGAGGCCTAGGCCCGGTAGAGAGCGCAGGCCTGCCTGCCGACGCTCGGGGATTGGAAAGATGAAGCGGCTTCTCAGTGACAGGCCTCAACCCGGAGCTGAGAAGGAGGAGGAAATAATAGTTACACGCAAACGTGCACCGATCCTGTTCCATATTTACAGCTATGGCAAGTAAGTTCCCTGGTGTAAGGTCCCAGCACAGACAGCCCTTTGAACTGAGGAAGGAGTAAGTGGAGAAATGGGGCAAGAGAGACAATGTAAATACCTAGAAACAAAAATGTCTATCTTTACCATTCTCTTCTAACAAACTCAATTCTGAACATTCAAAAGTTTGAATGCATATGGATTTATAATGTGCAAATGTTTGATCTCTAAGATAATGATTGCTTAGTGTGTTAATCACTTCATTTCATATATTTTTAGAGTAAAACTAGACCTTGTGGGGAGATTGACAAGACACAGGCACCTGCAGATCCACGAAATACAGATAGACAAGCATATGTACTAAAATCAAAATAAATACTATCTTGTTTTCTAACAAACAGAAAATGGGAAAGGGATTGTGTGTAAAGTGGTACATTTATGGCATTTCAGGGGCCAAGATGAAGATGAGATCTTACCCTAAGTACTTGAGAATCAAATTTAATTAAGTGAAAAGTGAGGAACGTTTAAGAAGTGTCATCCTTTCTTGTCAGGCCATATCACTTTGAGATCCTGAGGTTGTTATTGGCTGTTTGTGTCCACGATGTTTGAATACGTAATTAGGTGTCATTTTAACAGGTCAAATGTGTTTTGTAATTGACTGTTGATTAAGTGTCAGGTCTTTATAAATAAATGGTAGCTAATTTTTCAGTAAAGTAAATCTTGGACTTACGGTGTGTTGGAGTTGAGAGTTATTAAAAATTGAGGTAGGTTTAAAAACACCCTATGAACTAATAAAAATACTCATCCAGAAATTATGTAATTGAGGGAAATCTTAAGATACCAAGTTTCATCTTTCATACAGAAAGGAAACTTATAAATGACAAACAAGTATCAACATTTCATAGTTTGTCTTTTTAAGTAAGCTTTTGAGTTGTTCAGGCAGATCTATTATAATCACGGTTGGTTATTGCATGTAATAAAGTAACTTTCTGGGATCTTGTGTTTAGAGTTTTAAAACTGCATTATGCCTCTGAGTGCTCTGATACATGTTTAAAGGGGTGAAGTTAATATAGCTGTCGCATAGAAGGCGTGTTTTTAATGCTGTAAATCCGTGTAGTAGTCAGTAGCATGTCCATGATTTGTATTGGTCAGGGAGCAGTTTGAATTTTAAAAAGCCTGACGATCCTGTTGAGCCCCAATCCCGGCCTCCCTCCCTCCACTAATCTTCCATTCCTGTCTTTGTGCTGCTTGGTCCTGTTAGACACTGTTTGCAACAGGGCCTTAGGCCTATGTACATGTAGAAGAATCGAACCGTTTATGCTTAGATAAAGCAACTTTTTATTTTAAACCTCGTGAGTTGCTGAGGGAGCCATTAGTTGTCTCAATCTGTCCCTATTTCTGTGTGTAGCTGAGTTGTTGTTTTCTTTTGGCATGTAGTGTGCATGGGGGTCGGGTGTAATTCTGCTTTGCAGGAAAGAAAGGACAGTGCTGAAGTAATTGTAGTTCTTGGTTAGTTTTCATCATCAGGAAGCAATGTTAGCTGTAGCATTTTGTTGTTTAAAACAACTCTTATTTTAACAAAAATGAGTTTGTTAAGCTAACAGTGGTGAACTTCTCTGACTTATATTTAAATACAGTCTCCTTAAATGAAAAATGAGATATGAGCAGGAAATGAGCTACTGCAGTTATTTAGTTCCTGTCAAGTTGTTTTATGGCTTTTTTTTTTTTTAAAATCAGAAATCATACACTTTTTTGATATCAAAAATAGGCGTATTTACAGAGGGAAACTTAAGATGCTGGCTATTTGTGATTTATAATGAGGTGGGTTATTTTGAGCCATATATGGTTAATCCTGAATTAGTTACATTATCACAGTTTATGTAGTTGTAAATTTCTTTATATCGGACAAATATGTAATGGAGAAATGTAAGGTGGCTTTTTTTTTTTTTTTTTAGATTGTATTTATAGTACATTTAAGTGTGTGCATGGGGGAAGCTCGACTTATTTCACTTTAATACCTCTCTTACCCTAGCATTAGGAGTTAAAATTGATCCACTGTCACAACAGCTAGTTGGTTAGGTTGTAGTTATTTTATTCATGTTATAGAATTACATAATTAATTATTCTTGAGGTGTTAGCTGTAACAATTATTTTAACTGAGAGAGGAAAAAAGGAAAATGTTTTCTTCTGTTTATCTTTTGTGCTTTTGACTACCTTGTATGCAAGAAACAAGTTCAAAACATACAAGTTTTTTTTCTTCTTTTCTTCTCAACTACTTAAATGTTTTACATGAAGTTATTCTAATAAAAAAACATTTCACTGAAGCTTTTGCTATCTTGTAAAGCTGATTTTTATGTTTTAAAAAATATTTTTAATAAAGAGAGAAACAGGCATACCACTAAAAATTATTTTTTACATTTAAAGTGTTTTCATTTGGATTTAAGAGAAATACAGAGAAGGATCAGAGAAGCAATATTATACTGCTAAAACAATTTGCGGATCTCTGTTCTACATAAGACTACATGTACCCCAGTGCAAGCTCATTACATGTTTGGGACTCCATGGACAATAATGTTCATATGTCTCTTCTTGCCAAATCAAGGTAATATGTAGTAATGTCTTTAGGTTAGAAAGGTTAGGTTGTTTTTTGTATGATGATAATTATAATGCTGCTTTAATCCTGAATCATGTATATATTCCTCTATAATATAAATAAACTGTATTTTGAAGGATACTAGATGAAAAAACAGTGTGAATTGATTTGAGCCAGTTTCCTATTGCAATTTTCTGTGTGTTCAGTGGTAAATGTGTGGTATTTTTTGTGTGTGTATTATATTACAAAGTGTTAAAATCATTCTTTAAATTCATTTTAATATTAACTTCATAAATATTATACAATACATGTAAAATTAGTGGATAAGTGCTAGTAACTAGAAGGAGAAATTATACTCCTATTCTGAATATCTAGACCTAAGAAATAAATTGTTTTCAAAATCAGAACTTTATGCTCTCTAGAAATTATTCCAGAGACAGAATTGGAAAAATATGAGCTGTGATAATTTTAGAGTTTAGTGTCTGGTAGGTGTGAATTGGATCATCCAGTGTTAGAATAGCTATTCACTGTCACAAGATATGTTATTAGAAATATTTAACAATTGAAAAAATGGCTGTTTTAATGATACAACTTATTTTCAGTCTTCCTTTACATATGCCTTTATTAACGTACAAGTTATGTTAGCTGTTGATTTTTAATCATCAGCAGTAAGGAGTACTCAGTTGCACAGAGAAACTTACAAGGAAATGTTTGAAGTTGGTGATATCTATATGGTATTGGTAATAACCCTGTATAATAATGATGCTTTTTAGAAATCAAAAAAGGAAGTACTTCTAAAATTACAGTATTATAAAACCTTTCAATACAATTCATCTGTACTTGTTTTTATTTTATTAGTGTTACAAACATACTTAGTAGACGATCCTGATGTGTGAAGTATTTGGAAGAGAAGTGCTTTATGTTGATGTCTATTGCACCCAAGGAGTGAGGAAATTGTGTTTGAGGAGATTGTGCAGGACCTATGATTTGTGTCTCACTTCCTGTCCTGACTGTTCACTATAGAAAATCTCACTAGCAAAAGGGAGGGGATGACATTTCTACACGCAGCTGGGCCAAAAATTCTAAAAGGAAATCAAGTCAAATTGAATGTAGTTGTTGGTACTGTACTTGGAGGTGACTACTTGGTTTACACAAATAACTTTAAAAAAAATGTATATATATGCATTGAAGAACATTTCTCATGTTAAAGTCTTTCAGTTAGAACAAATTCTAGAAGACTATTTTTTAGTGCTTTTTTAGTATTTATGTCAGTTGGTTCTAAATTTTTTCAATCAGAGATCTCAATTCTTTATATGATTAGATATTCCCATTTCAAATTATTGCTATGGTTTGATATGAAGCATTTTGTTTTTTTGCAGCAGTGTATATGTGTAGACATGCATTTTACAGGAACAGTGTTAAAAAACATTAGGCTGCAAAGTCAGGGACTCAGGTAAGGTACGAACAGACTTCAGAAAAAAACATAATCCAGTCTCCTTCTCCATGCACTGGGCATTTAGCTACATTATTGTATTCCCTCTTACCCTTATGTCCCCAATTCAGTGCCTCATATGGTGCATGGGAAATGTCAGCTGACTAGTATACTGTTATAACCTAGTATATTTTTTTTATATTTTATTTTTTATATTTTTAAAACCTAGCTTTATTTTTTTATATTATAACCTAATATATATTTGTTTTT